AGCCCTTCCCCCACTTCCCTTCTCTTCTAGATCCATTCCCCCTCTATTTCCTTTCAGAAAAGAGTAAGCCTCCCAAGGATATCAATGGAACATGGCATAACAAGTTACAATAAGAATAGGCATACACCCCAGGCAACCCAATAGGAAGAAAAGGGTTCTCAAAGCAGAAGAGTCAGGTACAGCCTCTGTTCCCACTTTTAGATATCCCATAATAAGACCAAGCTACATAACTGTAACATACATGCAGAGAGCCTAGATCAGGCCCATGCAGGCTCCCTGGTTCTCATATCTGTCTCTGTGAGACCCTCAGAGCCCAGGTTAGTTGATTCTGTGGGTTTTCTTGTGGTGTCCTTGTCCCCTCTACAATTTTTCCTCCCCTTCTTCTCTGAGATTTCCAGAGTTATGGGTCTCTGTATCTGTTTCAATCAGTTAGGTATGGAGGCTCTCTGATGATGATTATGCTAGGTTCCAGTCTACGAGTATAACAGAATATCATTAGGAATATTTCTTTGACCTTTTTTTTTTGCCAGTTGTGTTTGGCTCTGTATAGGTCTCTGAGGTTTCTAGCGTCTGGATCCTAGCTATCCAGGCAGTGTCAAGTGCTGGCTCTCTCTTGTGGTGTGGGTCGCAAGCTAGACCAGTCATTGGTTGACAACTCTCACAAATTCTGTACCACCTTTAACCTCAACACATCTTGCAGGCAGAAGTTCTTATCACCACAAACAGTGTTGGGTATGGGTTGCATCTTTTGGAGTGGGTCTTAAGTTAAATCAGCTGTTGGTTGGTTATTCCCACAGCTTTATACCACCGTTTTACTTGCATATCTTGCAGGCAGGACACCATTGTCAGAGGGGTTTGGGCTGGTTTGATTTTTTCATTACTTCTTTGGTAGCATAGAGAGTATCTTCATGTACCAAAGATACTAGCACATAGTGGTGAAGTCTTCATGTAGGCACCAACATGACTTTTTCATGTTTGATGAATTGTATAGGTGTTGTCTTCAGTAATGGGACCTTGCAGTCAGTTTGTGGATGTCAACCTATAATCTTGGCAACAGGCTGGGTTGTTTGGGAGTTCTGATGGGACCTGTTTGGCCAACAACTCAGTTATAATCTAATCCCAGTAATAGAAGCTTCATTTGGTAACAAAAGATGGTCAGTTAAGGGTCTACCTCCCCCCTACTTTGGTGATTTTCTTTATGTTGCCTTCATATGTGTATATATTTTAGGAAGCTTCTACTGTGTTAGGTTTCCATCCTGTCCCTCAAAAGGCCCTTAATTTTAGCTGTCTCTCCATATTTCCTCTCTCATCCCCTTCTTCCCTTGCTCCTCCACTTGATTCTCCCATTCCAGTCTCCATTTCTTCCCAATTCATCTATCCATACATATTCTATTTCCCTTTCATAGGGAGATCTATCTGCACACACACTGTCCCATACTCTATATGTGACATCTGTAGTCAGACTGTACCATTATTTTCACTGACTTAACAGTTAATAATCAAATAATCAGCAAATATATACCATATTTGTGTTCTGGATCTGGGTTACCTCACTCAGGATGATCTTTTGCTCTAACTCCTTCTATTTGCCTGTAAATTTCATGATTTTATTTTTTAAGCCAAGTAATACTCAGTTGTATAAATGTACTAAATTATTCTGTTGAGGGACATCTATGTTGTTTCCAACTTTTGACTATTACAAATATAGCAGCAATGAGCACGGTAACTCCCTTTTTATGTAATGATTGTATCTATTTTTGAATGAAGTAATCTTTCCATACATAGAGAACCTTTCTATTAGGTGTGTAAAAACTCAGGATAGAATTAAATGGGGGTTGAAACTACTACTTTATCCAAAAATGTATCTGTTTATATGTCTAATTGTCTGTATATATTTATCTATTTGTATGTATATGTGTGTGTGTTTACATAGATGTGGATGAGTGGTGTCTTTGGGAGCTCCCTTGTTTTGTCTTTTGATTGTATGTGTACATGTGTGAGGTTCGTAAAATCTGCATGCTTTGTCTGCCAAGTGTGTACACGAATTTTGCATGCTTCTAAGTTTAGTAAGTTTAATAAGTGATAAGCAGTCCGGAGTGTTTTATTGACCTTCTTAATGAGGACTCTAGCTTCTAGTAGGCCACTATTCATTGCTAAGACATTAAGTTAAAAGGAACTAAGGTTTTCTTTTCACATCCCATTGTATTTACAGCAAGAAATGGTCAAGTCTGCAGCTGCTTGTACTCTGAGTTAAAGAGACACCTCAGCATAAATGATTAAGACCTGCTGTTGAACAATAAATGTTTTTAGCCAAAGAGCTGTTTTTGGTGGCAGAAAAAAACAGAAGGCATGGATAGCTCAATTGATAAAACTTCAGACCCTGAATCTGAAAATTCTCTGCTACCTCTCTTTTCCTTTAGAGGCTCTTGTGACCACTGGCCCCTGGGAGTTAAACTGTATATAGAGTTAAGCTGCATATAGAATTAAACTATATAAATAGAGAGAGTTAAAGTGTATATAGAGAGAGCCCAAACTAGCAAGGTTACCAGCCTAAAAGATTAAGAGTTAAGGTATAGAGAGAAACACCAGCCACCAGCTGGTCATTGCCAACGCTGCGCTTCACTTTGGTTTACCTTGTGTGCTGGAGCTGGCCTCTAGCAGGTTCCGTTGTTCAATGCTGGATGTCCTGGGACTCACTATGTAGAACACACTGACCTCTAACTCACAGAAATCTCCTTCATATGCCTCCTAACTGCTGAGGTTAAAAATGTGCACCACCATACCCGGCCCTAGGCACAGTTTTATTTGCCCGTTTTCACTTAGTAGTTGAGAACGCATCAAATATATGTTTGTATATGTATAAAACATGTTTCTTTTATAGTATATGCTATGGCTATGTGGCTCTACATAACTCATAGTAACAATAAACATTTAGTTTAGCAAACATTTTAAAAATTTCATTGGTGTCATATAAGTTCTGTTTTAAGTATTCGAATCCCCCTGAATATCCATTTTGGTGTTTTATAGGTGGGAATATTATACAAATAGATTAGATCAGATGAAAAGCTGAGCCAGGATTTACTCCTGGTCTAGATATTCCAGGTGACCTAAACCACAGGGCCCATACTACTTCTGACCACCTAAGGAGGTTAAGATTTATCATATCCTAGAAGTGGTTTGACTCCTAAATGCAGCTTGTGAAGCCTCTTCCTGTGAGTCAGTGTTCATCCCTTGCTAAGAACTTAATGCTTTTCTATCTAGCGAAAGGAAGTCACAGGAAAGAAAACTACAACCATGTGACCTATTTTAAAATTCATTGTTGCTATAGTAAATCCTAGTATAATGGAATTTTACTAGAAACTTGAGTAGTATCTCCAATTGTTTCAACTCTTCTTTATGCTTGAAGATTTTCATATATAATCTGAGAAATTACAAAGGCTGGAAAGGTAGCTCGATGGTTAAGAATACTCTTGCAAAGGACCTGAGTTCAGTTCTCAGCACTCACATGGTAGTTCACAACCATCTATAATTCCAGTTCCAGGGAATCTGACTCCCTTCTCTGACCTTTATGGGTACTAGGCACATGCATAGTATACCTACATGCAAGGAAACACATAAACACATAAATAATCTTAAAAAAGTAAACCAAAAAAACATAATTCATACATATGTGTAAAATTTTACTATATTCTGTTGGATTTGCAGCACCATTGATTTTAAGATGTGCCACTAATTAAGTTATGACATGTTGACAGCTTTGATTTTAAGCTACATTTATGTTTAATACCATTTAACAAAGGTATTAAAATTTGTAATATTTTACAGATGATGAAATATGAAGTAGATTTGCAGTTTAACTATCTAAATGAGTGGTATATGTGATTAAGTACATTAGATGTTAATCAAATTTTAAATTATATAAGAAAGGCAGAGTAAGCTTTTGTAAAATGAAAAAACTGCTACTTAGGTTATATAGATTCTGGCTCGCTCTCTCCCTTCTCTTATACTCTCTCTGCTTCAGTCTCTTTCCTGGGCCACCCCCCTACCATGTTCCTCTGTCTCTTCTCCTAGGCCCTCCCACTGTCTGTCTCTGTTTATCTCTAGCTCTTTCTCTCTCTATTCTCATAGCCCACTCAGACCCTTAACACCTCTCCTCTTTCCTTTCCCCAAATAAATCTCTTCATATCAGAAAAAAAATATATAGATTTTGTATATAGCAAAATATAGAAGATGGGAGGGAAATATAGATAATGAAACAGCATAAAACTCAGAGAGTTGAAATATTCACAGTTTCTAAGTGAAATAGAGTAGACAGTAACGGAGACAGTGGTGTTGAAGAACTGTATCTATGTTGAGGGAGATATATTTGTGAACCCTGCTTGCGAAAATAATTGGTTTTGTTGTGCTCAATATTCTAGATTTTCTGTCATATGGATCCAGGATTACTAGTATTGAGTTTAGAAAATTCAGTGCTACATTTTTCCCTATAAGGAGGTAATACATAAGTCATGTGTAGTCAGAAGTTCATATAACTAAGCCAAGTGTGGTGTTACTGACTTTAACCCCAGCCCTCAGGAGGCTAAGGCAAGAGTTCAAGGTTAGCCTAGTCTAAATGGCAAATTTCAGGCCAGCCAGGTCTACACAGTGAGACCATATCTCAGAAGAAAATACATGTAACTAAGAATTAAGGGTGAGAGATGAAATAAAAGCAGATGGGAAGTTTTTCGTGGTCATAAAAATGGCAGTAAATGAGGATATATTAAAAGATCATCTCTCTCCCTTGACACTCTGATAAAATGGCTTGCTAGCCTCATCTCAATCACAGCAAAAGCTCTTAGAATGTGCATTTAGATGGAGACAAGCCCAGATTAGGATCTGCTCGATCTCAGGTGGCTAGTAGAAATAGGCAGTAACAGTTGAGATCATAACTTTTCCGAAAAAGGCCTATTCCTCATAATAATGTAAACATGATTTTCTGTGCTTTTTTTTTTTTTTTTCAGAAGTCTGCCAAGTTAATGAACAGCTTGAGAAACAACATTGGGATAACCAAAATAAGTATTTGTTGATGCAAGTTGGATTCCCTGATGACAAAATAATTACCAAGAGTGGCCAGAACTATACTGAATTTGGAAACACATTCCATCTGAGTACAAGCCTTGTTGTTCCAATGCAAAGATCCCATAAATTTGAATCCTTTAGAAATAATATGGTAGATAATTTAAATTTACTTAGTAGAAGCTCTACAGAAAATAAACATGATACTGAGTGTGCAAAATTATTCTTCCATGCAGAATATGAAAAAACTAATTTCATAGTGAACTCCTGTGGATATAAAGAATATGAAAAAACCCTCACGAGAAAGAAAGGCCTTAGCCTTCATCAGAGAATTAAAAACGGAGAGAAGCCTTTTGAATGCACTGCATGTCAGAAAACCTTCAACAAAAAGTCACACCTCATTGTACATTGGAGAACTCACACAGGAGAGAAACCATTTGAATGCACTGAATGTGAGAAAGCCTTTAGCCAAAAGTCTCAGCTCATTATACACTTCAGAACTCACACAGGAGAAAGACCCTTTGAATGTCCAGAATGTGGCAAAACCTTCAGAGAGAAGTCAACTGTCATCATACATTACAGAACTCATACAGGAGAGAAGCCTTATGAATGTAATGAATGCGGGAAAGCCTTTACTCAGAAATCAAACCTCATTGTCCATCAAAAAACCCACACAGGAGAGAAAACCTATGAGTGTACCAAGTGTGGGGAATCTTTCCTACAGAAACTTGACCTAATTATACACCATAGTAGTCACACAGGTAAAAAGCCTCATGAATGTAATGAGTGTAAGAAAACATTTGGTGATAAGTCAACCCTCATTACACATCAGAGAACTCACACTGGAGAGAAACCTCATAAGTGTACTGAATGTGGGAAATCTTTCAATGAGAAGTCAACCCTCATTGTGCACCAAAGAACTCACACTGGTGAAAAGCCCTATGAGTGTAATGTGTGTGGAAAAACTTTCACCCAAAAATCAAATTTGGGTGTTCATCAAAGAACTCATTCAGGAGAGAAACCGTTCGGATGTAATGAATGTGAGAAAGCCTTCTCTCAGAAATCTTACCTCATGCTACATCAGCGAGGGCACACTGGAGAGAAGCCCTATGAATGCAGTGAATGTGAAAAGGCATTTTCCCAGAAGTCCTATCTCATTATACATCAAAGAACTCATACAGAAGAAAAACCCTATACATGTAATGAGTGTGGAAAGGCCTTTCGAGAAAAGTCAAAGCTCATTATCCATCAGAGGATCCACACAGGAGAAAAACCGTATGAATGCCTCGTTTGCTGGAAAGCTTTCAGCCAGAAGTCACAGCTCATCATCCATCAGAGAACACACACAGGAGAAAAGCCCTATGAATGCATAGAATGTGGCAAAGCTTTCAGGGAAAAATCCACATTCACTGTACATCAGAGAACTCACACTGGAGAGAAGCCCTATAAGTGTACAGAATGTGGTAAAAACTTTACCCAGAAATCCAACCTTATTGTACATCAGAGTACCCATATAGGAAAGAAAGCCCATAGAAGAGGCCACACCCATAAGTCAAAGCTCACTACACGATAGTCAACAAAGCAATAGTGTCTTTCAGATATCTGAAAGAAAAGATCTATTAATTTAATGTTTAAAAAGAATGACATGAATTAGAGCCTAATCATTAGAATAAAGTCAGCATTTCCTTTCATCTTTTTTACCCTAATGCAAGTGGAAAAAGAAGCAGATATGTGATTCCTTTGAAAACTGTTGCACTTATAGGCCTGCCAGACTAAGAGGCAAGACATTTAAGGGCTTCAGAAGTGAGACAGCATATCTAAGAACTCTGTTAAAGATAGAGTTACACCCTAAATTCCATGACTGTGACAAAGACCTTGTTGAGGCCTGAGGAGAAATAGGTAGGCAAATCTTCTATTTACAGAAAGTAATCTGACAGATTTTAGGGGGAACTGGGACAAATAAAGGGATGTAGTTGGTCTTGTTTACTGATTTTGGGAAAGTAAAGTCTGAAAGAACTAATATATGGTAAGAGGTATCTCAGCTGTTTGAAAAAACTTATCTGTCTACAATATGGTCCTGACATCTTCCCCACAAGAACCTTTGACAAATAGGAAGTCCAGGGACAACCTTTCTCATTCAAATGAAAGCATTTAAAAGTAATCAAAACCAAAAATAAATGTCCACTTCTAGGAATACACATACTCAGATGTGTACAAAATGATCAAAACACAGGCATTTGTTGATGCACTGTCTGAAAATAAAAGATTAGAGGCTATTCAAATTGCATAACCTGGATTCTGCTTCCTGAATCTGATATATTCATACAGCAGACTCCTCAAAGACAAAAATGGACAAAAAGAACATGGATATCATTTCTCTAGTGATTTTAGATAATCCCCAAGTTACATTAGATAAGAAAATCAAGTTGTAGCACAGTGAGTTTGATGTGCTACCATTTTTACATAAAAAAGGGGAAATGGTAAGTACAGAATTGATTGTATGTACATTTTTTGTTTGTTTTTCCTTTCTGTTTTTGGAAAGGAATATAAGAATCTTATTGCCATTATTAACTTACAGAGGGAAAGGGGCCAGTAGGTGACTAGGGAAGTGAAACTTGGAGACACCTTTGTATTCTTTCAAAGCTGTGGAAAGTAAAACAGTGTGGAAATGCTACCTTTTTGAAAAATAAATCTTTAAAACCGCATTTTATTCCTTTAATAGTTACTCTAGATAAAGAATTCATAATACTTAATGTATAGAAGCTTGAGAGAGTTTAATATATTTTCAGTATTCACTGAAATTGAATAACCAGGCAAACAGGGAAACAAAAAGTATTCAATCAATTACTAATATATGTAAGTATTTTTCCTTAAGCATCAATTAAAGTAAACTGAGGTCATCTGGGATCATACTACATCTGCCAAAATAACTGAAACTAGAATACATCTCATATTTAGGGTACACATTGACACCTGTGGGAAGTTATTAAAATCCAGTGATATCTTCTCAAATCTTATTTTCAGCTACTCCATATACACACGCTGATTTTACAAAAAAGCATAAAATACCAATTCAATGAGAGGTAGAGTAGCCTGTTCCAGATATCACACTAGTGCTGGTGACACATATTTTCCAAGATATGAGATGAAATTGAGACCCATAAGAAAAATATAACAACGTTTGCTGCAGAACAAAGGTCTTGTTTGTGAATTACTATATTTGTAGCATTCTTGTAAATGTGGCTATTCATTGAGTCTTTGTCTAGCATTAGTAGGCAACACAAGCTATGTAAAACCTGGAGGTCAGAAGGGCTTATATTGATCAAAACAGATGATTTAGGCTCGAGTGTGTTTGCACCTTTGTAAACCACTCATTTTTTAAGAGTGTGTTTGTATATGTACCTGCATGTATGTATATATGCATGTTGAAGCAAGGGAGTCACTCCAATTTTTTTTGTCTGTGCATGTCCATATTTATTTTACAGAGTCAAATCCTAAAAGTTAAATTGCTTTGGTAACAGATTTCTAAATTGCATTTAGAAAGATTAATACAAGTGCTCTCAATAATTCTCTCTCAAACAGCATAGCCCAGTAAAGCAATATTTAATGTTTATATATTAGCTTAACTTGGGTCCTCTGTAAAAGCTCTCTTAACCACTGAGCCATCGTTTGAGGTTTTTAAAAATTCCTTACTTCTGAAAAAAAAATAAGTAATGGGCTCAGGTTGGATTGGAATACAGGTCTTTTAATGGTGGCTATCAAACATGGAGCTTTGCATATATGAAGTGCTCTCAAACTCTGCTGCATCTTTACTTTATTTTTGAGCTCTGTAAAACATATATTTTCAATTCCAAGGAAATACGGGCTGGCTAGCTTGTTCCTAGTCTACAGAAAAAATACCCAAGGGAACTAGAAATAACTATTTGATCTTTTTCCCAGTAAGTCATCTCCATTAAAGATCAATCTGCAATAAGGTGAGGGTTCACAGTGTACCTTTTCCTTTGAATCTTGGGACAGCTTCCTATTCCACAGATGGCAACTTGTTCTAGCTACATGTGGGCAAACAGAGGTGATGGAGGCATAGACTGAAGAGGAAGGGATGAGGATGAAAGGCAGGATTTAAATGTGATGAAGCTAGAGGGAAAGAGAGGTAATGAAGCACCAAGCGTGAGTAAATGGGGCAGTGAATGGCAGAGTTGGGAAGTGAAAGGGAAAGGAGGGAAAAGAGGATATATCCAGTAGGGTAAGGTACTTGAGAAAAGTTGAGCATAAACATGGGTAGTAATTGAGGGTGAACGTGCAGACAGATTATATTGGAAGCAAGGGAAGGTGAGGTAAAGCAAAAGTTCCTGCTAGATGCAGTTGATGGAGAACAGTGCCAGTGAGTGAAGTGGTATGGGCCATCAAAGTAGACAGTGCTTGAATGAAAGAATGATGGGTTCTTGCAGGTAATAAGGAGATGTGGTATCAAAAGAGTTATAGTCATAGGGCCTTGGGTTAATGATAAACAATTGGTTAAACCTGAGTGGAGAATCCCACTATGAGCATAGGTATATGAGATGGAAACAACTTGTACTCTGGACTCAATGCTCACCAAAGGGTAACTCTGCTCTCCATGTCCTTGCTGTTATTTACTTAACATATCTGAGGCCATCACATATCAAAAAAGTAGCAGAGAATAAAAGTTTGAATCTCTGAAGATGGGAAAAAGCCAAAGAATCTGTAAATTATTAGAACAAGTGGCTTGAGCAAGATTGTTAAATACTAGCCCAAACTTTAGAAATTATCTTTTTACTATCAATAACCGTAAAAAGGTAATTCAGTGGGGGAATAGAAATACATAACAAGGCTATTCATCGAGATTCTTGAAAGGCATTGAATGAGGATTAATCTATAAATGTCTAGAATGCATTAGGAAAGGGGTGATGACATATGGAATAAAGTGAAAAGACCATGTATCCTATCCTAGGAGTGAGGAGAGCTAGGACCCACTCTCAATCCTAAACAGAATATGGTGTGCTTAACTGTGAAGATGCCCTGTCACTGAAGGAATTGGCTTCAATATGTTGGAAGTAGAAGAGCCCAGTATCCTTTAAGCAGATATCATGGCAAAGGATTGATACCCACATACCAGCTAAATCTTTCTTCCAGTTACCACCCCAGTGTTTTTGGTGTTCTCTCAGTCTGCAGCTTTAGTTTTTTTCTCCCATCCAGGACTCTTCCTCAACCTGAAGAACATGTCTGCATTGAGAACTTGTCACCCTTACATAGACATTAAAATTTTGAGAGCAAAATTTTCAGGTGCTCTCGTGGCTAAAAAAGGGACAACTTCGTGTCCCACACAACATAAACAGCCATTTCCATGTATGGCAATCAGGCCAATTTGGTAGAGAAGTGAGAGAACAAATGGTTCCTCTGATGGCCACAGAAACAGAACACACACACACACAGAGGCAAGAAACCAGCTACACATGTGGGCCCATATATCATCTCTCCTAATATTTTTACTAGTGTAGACTTGTCTTCAGCATCCAAGATAAGTGGAATGTCTTAACTATGAAAATGTAAAGTAGGCAAAATGGAGGAAAACAAATGTGCAAAGATGAATCCAAGAAAGTGGGTATTTCTACGCTATAACAGGATACAGTAGTTCCCTTTTACCGATTGTATATTTTCTTTTAATTTCAGCCAACTCTGTTCTGAAGATATTGAATGGAAAAATTACAAAAATGCTGTTTTAAATTGAGTGCCATTCTGAGTAACATTTCCCTGCTACTGTGCTACTACCTGTTATTCACTTAGTATGTAGAAGATCATAAAGAATAACCCAGTAAGCCATGTGTGGTAGTACATGCCTTTACTTTCATCTCTCAGGAGGCAGAGGCAGGCAGAACTCTATGAGTTCAAAGTCAGCCTGGTGAGTTCCAGAACGGCTGTGTAGAGAGACCCTGTCTCAAAAGGAAAAGAAAGACCCAGCAAATCACAGGAACATGTTTTTCTATGTTAAATAAAATAAGGCAATTTCCATTATTCTAAATCGCCCTTGTGTTAAAATTATTTAATTAAATTGTGAACATATTAGAAATAGATGAGTATACAGAGCAGGGATATCTGACTAACACTAAAATAAACACTTCCTGTTGTGTAAAACTGATATCTCAAGATCATATCTCTTTGTTGACTGGCTAGAAATCCTTAAACTCACTAAACTGCAGTATGGACATTTGTTTTTAATTTCTCACTAGTTCAATAAAAAGTTTGTACAATGTGTTTTGATCATATTTACCCATCCCCCAACTCCTTTCATATCCATAACACCCAACTTTGTATCATTTTTAAAACACCCATCAAGTCCAAATTAGGATAGCCATATATTCTTGGATGTGTGGCATTCCAATGAAGCATGAGCCATGGATGACAATGAGAAAATAGTATCTTCTGGACACAGCAGGGCAGTTGCATACTTGAACCTACAAAGACTAAATTCCAACCTGGAGAGAGGAAGTAGGCATGAAGTCCCACCTCAACTGAGGAGCGATTATTTGCAATTGATAGCTACTAAAAAAGGGAGAA